AAGTGGAGAATGCTTTGGATCTTGCTGGTTACTTGGTGGGGTTGGTTGGGGTTTTGGAAACAAAACAAATTCATCGTACCCCTTTTGGATACTTTGAATTTTTTTTGGGTCCCGGCTGTTTCCTCTCTTTGTTTTTCTCCCCCTTCCCCTTCTTTCTTTCCCTACTCCTCTGTTCTCTATCTTCTCTACTTGCCCCTCTCTCATCTTCATTTTTTCTTCTTTCTGGAAACAAATCAAACTTCACTTACCTAATCAACTTCCTTGTGATTTGGTAAGTGGAGTATGCTTTGGGTCCTTGGGCTTGATTTGTGACCCCAACTAAATTCTACTTTTGTTAAGTGAGATTTAGTTGGGCCTTGGTGTCTTGGTTTGTTTCCTTTGGATGCATTTGGTTACTTGTAGATTGTACTTGTGGGTTCTCTTTTGATATAACCAGGTGGCCTATCCTATGCTTTCCCGTCCCCCTTGATGATGCCAACTACAACTGTCATGCCCCCACTTATTTGAATAAGGAAGGGATTGATCTCTTATGACACCTGTGGATGACAACTGATGGGGCCGGGCAGTGCTGGATTGCTGGGGTGGTCAATGCCTGAAGATACATTAGAGGACATACGGTGCTACTGGCCGGTGGAATCTCTGTCCTGAGCTTGCACTTGCTGCTGTTGTTTTCTACTACAATACTGGGGAATCTGCCATAGTATGGATATGGGGCTGCCTCACTACGGAAATGGGCCTGCTGTGGAGTACACGATCTGCTTGGTGTGGGGAACTCCTGTGCAATTATCTATGACGAAAGGTTATTCCATACAGAGTAACAGGATGATGCTGCTGGACGATGCTAGACAGTGATGGAAGACCGGTTGCTGCTCACTGCTGCTCACATCCTGCGCGGGTATGGAAATGGGCTGCCTGACTTGTTATCTTGTTGAAATGGAGCCTTTATGGTTTACTTATTCTGCTATGTTTTGGGGATCCGCTTTGCACTCATCCTCGGTAAAAGAATTTGGAATAAGGTGTGTTTGTTAAGGTATTCTTGCACTTAACGACTTCATCGATGTCATTTGCTTAACCCCGAGAATTGTTACGGATACTACCTAGACTACTACCTAAGTTTGCTGAATATATTTGGAACTTGTGTGACTTTGTTTGGGCTTGTGTGGATCTGTCCTACATCCCATTGGGAATCAAAACTATTGGGAATTCCTCACTGACTGTTGCCGACCTCCTGCTGTGAATTTATGGGCATGGAATTTGTGCCAAAGTGCTCTAGAGGTACGGTGTTGTTCTGCGTTATGGTGCTTGGTTGTTGCTACTGATTGGCTACATTGGTATTAAAGAATTGATGTATTTTTTTCTCCTTTTGGGTATTAGTTTGAACATTTGTGAGTGTTGGTTTGTTAGTTCGGAATTGTAATTTATTTGATGTAATTATTTCTCGTAGTCTAGGCTTGAAACTGTCTCATGTGCACGTAACCATTATTATGGTTAAGCATTTGACATTGATGTATTCGTTTGATTTGGGTAATAATAATTTACATGTTACCCGTTGAAAGAGCTCTCAATACAGACCCCTCCCCTAGAATCTTCTAGCTAATTGGGCTTTTTCTTGAGTCGAGGAGGTTGTTTTCGCTGGGTCTTGCCTTTCTATGTGTTGTTTCTGAACTCAATCGAGGGCACTCTGGTCGTAGACCTAGGGGAGGGGTCTGTATGGCAGAGTGGGGTCACTTTGGACTTTGCCCTTTGTGACGATCGTGGACAACTTCTGGCATTCGGGGATGGGCCCCTTGGCTTACTGGTTGAATCTAAGGCAAAAATAACTGAGCACCTGCCTTGGATGGATTTGTTGGATGACACACATTTTGGATTGATTTTTGAAGTACCTTGGATATAGTTGGATCGCGTGTTCGTGAGATTGAGTCCTTGGAGAGGGAGTATATGTGCTTGGCTTGTGATGCCACCAACATATACTCCATCCACGTTCTGGTTTGGTCTACCATACCTCTACCTGGTGATGCGGGGTACTGGAAGGTCCACAAGAGCCCCGGACGGGGATTACTAGTTGTTGTGTTTGACCACCTTGATGTTTGTTTTGACTGTTTATTTGTATGGCCTGCGTGCCAAGTTGGTGTACTGCTGTATTGCTGTTGTATTGTTTTTGTATTCATTACATGCGCGGAACCATTTCTATGGTTCAGCATATGACAATGATGTACCATTCTGATTTGGGGTAATAATAATTTACATTTTACCCTTGAAAGAGCTCTCAATCATTAATGAAGGGGATAAATGCACAAAATTCTTCCATGCAATGGTGAAGAAACAAAGTGTGTTGAATGCCATCCCTGTTTTGATTACATCCCAAGGAACTACTACTACTTCCTTGGAGGCTATTGTTGAGGAATTCATTGGTTACTACAGTCAGATTTTTGGTAATACAGTCCCTACTACCCCAGTGGATTGGAATGTCTTTAAAGAGGGGCCCTTAATCCAAGACCAGGATGCAATACACTTGGTCAGGAATGTGGACAGAACTGAAGTAAAAGAAGCCCTCTTCAGCATTGGTGATGATAAGGCCCCAGGACCTGATGGTTATACAGCTGCCTTCTTCAAAAAGAAATAGGATATTGTTGGTGATACTATTTTTGATGCGGTTTCTGAGTTCTTTTTGAGTGGGAGACTCCTTAAGCAGATTAATCATGCCCTGGTTGTCCTCATTCCTAAGGTCAGGGAGAACCCTAGTGCTAAAGATTATAGACCCATAGCCTGTTCTAATGTGGTCTATAAAATAATCACTAAAATCCTCTCCAACAGAATGGCTGGACTACTTCCTAGCCTCATTAATCCTGATCAGGCTACTTTCATTAAGGGCAGGAGCATTGTGGACAATATCCTTTTGGCACAACACCTGGTTAGGGGGTATGCTAGAAAGGGATCACCCCCTTGCTGTATGCTAAAGCTGGACATCTCAAAAGCATATGACACAATCTCATGGGATTTCTAGAGGAATACACGTCAGGGAATT